GCTGTTACATTATGATTATATATTCAGTGGCATAAAATGGTCTTTAAAATGACAATAATATCGCTTATCGCAATTATTTCTGGGGCAATATATCACACAACAAAAAGTTGTTATCGTGACAGGCCTAGCTCTGCCACACAAACGCGCGTCTACCGTGTGCAGCGTGTTTTCATGTGTGGTTTCGGTAACTTACAGTGTCATCTGAAAGTTTTAGATCCAGTCAGTTTTCCACCGGAGACACTCCCGTCAGTTTTGTGTTCTGTGCGCGACTCAAATGCTCCGCTCTCCACCCAAATAAAAGCTGCTGTTGGTTAATGAAAGTTTGACGGATGAACTCGCGGCTCGATTAGACTCTTGTTGTGTCAGAAAATGATAAGACTTTCAGTTTTATGGGCATCACCATCTTTGATATTACTTCGGTCACTGTCACTATGGTAACTGGTAAGGAATGAAAACGTTCATACAGACAGTGTTCTAAACGCAACTGTAAGCTGCTGTGTGAACGGGGCATTTCGAGACTCACACCTGTAAGTAAATGCGGTTGTCAACCCCAAAAATTGACAGTTTGAACATAGCCTTTGTAGTATCACTGGAATACTATTACAGTTTTTATTAATATTTTGAATTTTTATTTTTATATTTTCCATTTCAGTTAAAATTTTTGTAATTTTGTTGTGTTTTCATTATTTTTAGTAGTTTTATAAACCCTGTGACCCTGGAGCACAAAACCAGTTTTAAGTTGCAAAACAATACATTGTATGGATCAAAATTATCGACTTTAATTTTATGCCAAAAATTATTAGGATATTAAGTAAAGATCATGTTCCATGAAGATATTTTGTAATTTTCCTACTGTAAATATATTAAAACGTAATTTTTGATTAGTAATATGCATTGCTAAGGACTTCATTTGGACAACTGTAAAGGTGATTTTCTCAATATTTAGATTTTTTTGCACCCTCAGATTCCAGATTTTCAAATAGTTGTCTCTCGGCCAAATATTGCCCGATCCTACCTGCGAAGCTACAGTACTGTTAAAAGTTTTAGGCAATTGTGTAAAAATGCTGTAAAATGAGGATGCTCTCAAAAATAATGCCATAAATAGATTTTCTTTATCTATTAACTTCTATTAACTAAATTAAATCAACATTTGGTGTGAGCAACCTTTGCGTTTAAAGCAGCTTTTGCCCTCGGTGCATTTGTTTTAGGTGCACAATAGTTTTTCAGGCAGCTTTGCAGGAAGGTTTCTTGAAGCATCTTGGAGACGTTTCTTCTGGATTGAGTCAGTCTCAGTTTGTTCTGTTTCTTCATGTCATTCCAGACAGACTGATGATGATCAGATCAGATCTCTGTGTGGAGCTCTGGCTGTTTAAAATCTCACTGGATTATTACAATTAATGGCAAAATGAATGTTTGGAAATGTAAACTGATATTTCCTACTGACACACTACAGCAAAAGATAGAAATAACTGGCTTAAAACCATTTTTAGCTGGTGAAAATACTAATAATTTTGGCTGTTTATATTATTAATTAAAATGATTGGTCACTTCACATAGCAATTTCTGTCTAAGTGGTTGATTTTTGTCTAGAATAAGCTGCAAGTGGCTCTAAAAATCATTACACACAGCAAAAATGAGCCAAGAGTGCTCAAAACAAATATACTTTTCTAGTGAGACAATTTATTAAAGTGGCAGTCCACATCTCCATTTATTCATCTCATTTGGTTCATTTTGAGATGTCAGTTTGGACAGATGAAGACGAGCTCATCAGAAAGAGATCTGAATGATTTAATACGCTGAAACATCCAGAGAGACAGAACCGAAACAAGGCCAGACAGTGTGAACTGCTTAAATAAGGAAAAATAACCCAAGGGACGAGACGAGGGGCTGTTTGTGTGATAGAGAGTTGAGAAATATCCATTACCTGTGAAGTCTGTCCTCCAGAAGCTCAATATACTTCAGAGTTTTCTCCTTTAAACTGCACTCTGTCGAGGAGAAAAACATAATGTACATCAGAGAGAGATGCTGGCATATCATACATATTCATGTCCAGGCAAGACAGTCATTTTATCCTGGATGAAACTCATGAAAACATGTCCAGATCAAGTTTCAAGAACAATTAAATCTTTAAATATTAAAATATTGTTTGGAAACATTTTATTGCCTTTGTAAAACACAGTGTTCTTAACGATTCTCACTATTGCAACATTTTATTTAAATATAAAAAGCAAGACACACACACACATATAAAATTGCCTAGATTTCTATTTAGATATTTTTTATTTATTTATATTATCATTATAGTTATTATTATTACCATTTAAATATTTAACTGTATTATACATTTTTTGGAAGGATTTTTTTTGTGTGTGTGTGTGTGTGTTTGTGTAAATATACAGTGCTGTGAAAAAGTTTTTGCCCCCTTCCTGTTTTTTTTTTTTATTATTATTATTTGCATATTTGTCACACTTGAATGATTCAGATCAGGACAGCTTTTTTCCCTTAATAAGTAAAATCATCATTTAAAAATGGCATT